ATATATATATATATATATATCTCCAAATATAGATATATATCTCCAAATATAGATATATAATTTGTCTTACAGGAATAGTTATATCGGAACTTTATCCAGGTGATTTGCAAAATGTTTCCACTGCGTTAAAAAGGTACACCCCCCCCTCCCCCCTGGCCGCTTCTTCTGGTTGTCGTTCGGGAACTAAGAACGGCTTGCACGCAGAGTGAGGCAGAGCTGGTTTTTGCACACGGTGTGGGGGTCACATCAGAAGCAGCGAGCCTTCCTTCCTCTTGTGTAACAACTTGAGTTCACCCAGCACAATGTATTTTAATGGAGATGAAAACATGAATGCTTGTTTTCACCCCAAGTGTCCCTATTTATAGCTTCAGCAAGTATGCTTATTGCAGGCTTTTTTGTCTATCTGTCTTGGAGAGGCATCTGGGTGTGACAGAATAGAAATAATTTCCTGAGCCTTGGTAATAGCTAATGTATTCTGAGATGGAGGGACAGTTCCCAATGTCTGTACATCCAGCATCATCTCTGCGTTATTGGTAAAAATAGTACGCATTTGAAATTCCCAGATTCCTCTTTTGGGTTGATAGTGTTTTATGACAAATGCATTCAGCACTAATCTTTTTTTTTTTTCTAATGGATATTAGAAAAGCATGCACATGTTAAAAAATAATAAACATCAAAGTGCAAAGGCTAGCTCCTTCTTATGATAATCATTATAATTACATTGATAACAGTGCACGCAGGTAATGCGTGGAGTTATATAAATCAGGTTAAAGTACAACCCCTAGTGAGAGTGGTGTAGACGCTTGGCAATGTCAACAGGTCCCCAAGTGTTCATTTGCTGTATCAAAACATAGTAAAGTCAATTATAAATGATGTTTGTATTTTATTTAAACTCCAGAAAGGCAAGAGCATCTCAATATACTGTAGGCAGCAATCTCACCTGCAAAGAGTGAGGAAATCTGTTTATTCAGTGGGAATAACTTTGTTTTATGAGAATGGAATTTTGTATTAAAAGAGATCGTTTTTGGCTTACATTGAGTTATTTTTCTTTCCTTGTGTAGGAAACTTCCTTTTCCTTCTGCATTGGGAACTCACTGGAGTCATTTGGGGATGATTGCCTTTGGAAATGTTCAGAATATTTAACTGTTACATGTAATGTGTGTTGCGATGAGTTCTCGTTTGCTGTTTCACTGTGCTGACCTGAGGCCGAGTGGGTGGTAGCGTTACTTTGCACTGCAGGAAACAAAAGTGGATCCGTCATCTCTGATCTGTGACGGGTGACGTGTTTCAACCTGGGTAGCACCTAACTGATAGGGATTATTATCATTATCAGCAGTATTATTGGTAGCATTAATAATACTGAGAAGGAATCGAATAAGTGGAATGATCCACATTTACTTTGGAGCTGTTTAACAGATACTATTTTAAATAAATAAATACTCTTTTAGCTTACTTCATGATTGTATGTCAAGTAGTTGATATCTGGTTCAGCACGTGGTGCTCATTATGTTGTAGTGAATCTTTCATCATGCGTTTATTTTTATTCACTCATTCGTTATACTGAAGTTCTTCCTACAGATGGAAAAGGAAAAAAGGCCAGGTAAATCCCAGACATATTCCATCGTGACTGTATATAGGAAAACAGAAAGGATGATGCTGCTGAATTATCAGTGCTCCTTTGTGTTTCCTGGATATTGTCATTGATGTAAACGCTGTATTTGTACCTGGTTTAAAAGACTTGTCTGAGACTTAGAAATTGCTTCGTGGATCTCTTCACTGTATTAACAGTAAAAAAAAATGCTAGTTTTTATGGTACGGATAACAGCTCTCTTAATGTAAAATGTGACCTCTGGAAAGTGTTCTGTCTCTGAAAGTGTGTCCTAGCAATCCAATAACTGCTATCGTTAGTGAATATTACAGAGGGGTCATTTATTAAGCGATTCAGTAGACTTGACTTTAGCTGTTATAGCGCAAGATTTTGTCAAGAGTACTTTCCAGAGAAAGAACAGTTTTGTGCGTATCATCACTGCTGGTTTGTTTTTAAGTTGGAAATGTACAGTTATGGCCAACTTGTGTTCTTTGCTGTAAATACATA